AAATTCAAAGTAAACATCATTACATAAAAGGGTACGGTCTTTTTTTTTTTTTTTTTAGTTTTATTCATTTCAACCGGGCCGGATCCGGCCCGCGGGCTGTAGTTTGCCCACGGCTGCTCCAAGCTCTAGTTTCTTTTTAAAAAAATATATTTTGATTTTTTACAGGGAGGAAGGGAGAGGGATAGAGACGTAGAAACATCGATGAGAGAGGAACATCGATCAGCTGCCTCCTGCACACCCCCAACTGGGGATGTGCCCACAACCAAGGTACATGCTCTTGACCAGAATCGAACCTGGGACCTTTCAGCACGCAGGCCGATGCTCCATCCACTGAGCCAAACCGGTTAGGGCCAAGCTCTAGTTTCTTAGCTTTGTCTGACCTCATATATATCAATTTCTAAGTGAGCTGTATTTTATAGTTTCCTTTAAAAACATAATCCAGAATTCAACACAAACATTTAGTTCAATGAATAGTAATTGCATTTATTTTCTACAAAATATTTTGTGATCCATAGATGTACAAGGTAGTATCCTTGCTTACTCTCAAAGACATTATCTAACAGGGTAGATGATACCTATAAACTACAATATCGGGTAGTATATGACTATTAGGTGTTTCACCAGGTTTTGTAGATATGCCGGAGAGGAACAGTCACTATCAGAGAAAGTGGGTCTATAAGATGGACAGGATTTGAGCAGTCAGGGTGGGACCATGATGACAAGCAGATAAAAATGTAAACGCAGTTGCAGTTATGGCACCGAAAGGGTGTTTTGGGAAAGAAGTCTGGAGCTATGGTGTGTGCTTTGAGAGGAGCATTATTCTAAGGCCAGCTGGATCCTTGATTTCTAGGATAAGAAATACAGATTTTAGTTATTACTACTATTTCAGAGCTGCCACAGTATTTTGAAGAAAGAAATGAAGACATATTGGTGATGGCTTGTAGATGGATTTGGACAAGATGAGTTTTTAGTTAGAGACAAACTAATAAATAGGTTGGTGAAAAGAAGAGATAAATAATAGTTGTTAGAATTTGGAGACTGTCAAGTTCGAGGGTACAGGGCTAGAAGGCACCATTAAGAGAATAATGGTGCCTTTCACTGAAATTAGAAATCACAAGAGCCATTTGAGGTAAGTTTTAGAAATTTTGAATGTTACAGTTGTAATGTAGAAGTGCTAGTAGGTGGCTATTTTTATTTTTTTGTTAATCCTCACCCAGGGATATTTTTCTGTTGATTTAATTTTTTAGAGAAAGTGGAAGGGAGGGGGAGAGACAGAGAGTGAGAGGGAGAGACATGGATTGGTTGCCTCTCACACATGACCCAACCAGGGCCAGAGATCAAGCCCTGCAATCGAGGTATGTGCCCTTGACCTGTTTTGAACCAGCTATGACCCTTCTTAAGCCCACAGGCTAATGCTCTATTTACTGAGCCACTAGGGTACTTGGTGGCTATTTGGATATCGTTTCCATAGTTGAAACCTTGGATAATGTTTATTGTAATCTCACTTAAAAATTTGTCAGAGCACAAAGAAAGATGCTTCTAAATACACTTCAGACCATACATTGGTTAAGTATGGAGTGGGGAGGAGGATTTATTACTGTTTTCTAAATGTTGGTTTTCGTAATGCTACTTTTGTAATTTGAAGAACAATAACAAGGGTAGACTATTTGAAGAAAAAGATTCCGTAATGTATAGAAAACAAGGAACTTGAAAGACATTTCCGAAACTTGCAAGGTAATTGGTGGGGGGAACAACTGAATTTGGACACAGGGGAGAATGCTCAATTTAAGGAGCAGGAAAAATAAGAGCCAGCTGGAGTTCAGCGTGAGGAAAAGGAGGAATTAGATGTAAGTATAAAACTTAAACTCAATTTCCTAAAGAATACTTTTAAGAAAAAGAATTCTAAGATTTAATAGGAACAAGTGTTTTCCATTTTGGTTATTTTTAATTGTAATGTTTTTGTCATGGAATTATTTTAATTATTTTTAATAATTATAAAATTTAAAAGGACATGTTCTTTAAAGATTTTAAAACTTATTAAAATGTATGTCATTACAAACTCAAAGGTAATTTAGTGCCTGGGTATATGGTACTACTTAAATTACTTTGGAAATTGTAATTCTAATAAGATTTTTAAAAATGTTTTGTCTGTCCTGTTGAACCTACTTTACAAAACTCTTTTGGCCTTTAAACCTAAATTGCCTTGAGGCTTAATGTTCATAATTTAAAAAATGCTCGAATTTCCTAAAGGGAGACTATAACTATTAGTGGGAAAATATTCTTTAAAACGTTTCAAATGACCTTTTTTCTTTTTTTTTCAGGTATCTTTGTATCCAGTATTGTTCTGATATTGTCACAGCGATCACTTTTCAAGTTTTACATGTACAGCGCAGCCTTTCTATTAGCTGCAACTTCAGTGTTGGTAAATTATTATGCTGTTTTGCACATTGACTTCTATGGTGCCTACAACACGTCAGCTTTTGGAATTGAACTGCTTCCTCGGAAAGGGCCCTCACAATGGATGGCACTCATTGTTCTACAGCTAACATTTGGAATTGGATACATCACACTACTCCAAATTCATTCCATCTATTCACAATTAGTTATTTTGGATCTCTTGGTTCCTGTAATAGGCTTAATCACAGAGCTACCATTACACGTCCGGGAGACTTTAGTTTTTACTTCTTCCTTGATTCTTATATTAAACACACTGTTTGTCTTGGCAGTGAAACTTAGGTGGTTTTATTATTCCACACGGTATGTTTATCTTTTAGTGAGGCACATGTATCGAATTTATGGATTACAATTATTAATGGAGGACACATGGAAGAGGATCCGTTTCCCAGATATACTGAGAGTCTTTTGGCTAACAAGAATTACAGCTCAGGCTACAGTGTTAATGTACATTTTAAGGATGGCAAGTGAAACTGATTCCTTCTTTATTTCTTGGGACGATTTCTGGGACCTCATTTGCAATCTTATAATTAGTGGATGTGATTCTACACTAACTGTGCTGGGCATGAGTGCTGTAATTTCCTCAATAGCCCATTATTTGGGCCTTGGAATACTGGCCTTTATTGGATCAACTGAAGAAGACGACAGGCGACTTGGCTTTGTAGCACCTGTTTTATTTTTTATTTTGGCTCTTCAGACTGGTTTAAGTGGGCTAAGACCAGAAGAGAGACTTATTCGCTTAAGTAGAAACATGTGCCTTTTATTAACTGCAGTCCTGCATTTCATCCATGGAATGACAGACCCCGTATTAATGTCTCTCAGTGCCTCTCATGTGTCATCTTTTCGTAGACATTTTCCTGTGCTCTTTGTCTCTGCTTGCCTGTTTATTCTTCCTGTTTTACTCAGTTATGTCCTTTGGCATCACTATGCACTAAACACATGGTTGTTTGCTGTTACAGCCTTCTGTGTGGAACTCTGCTTAAAAGTAATTGTTTCTCTCACTGTTTATACGTTATTCATGATTGATGGCTACTATAATGTCCTCTGGGAAAAGCTTGATGATTATGTCTACTATGTTCGTTCAACAGGCAATATTATTGAATTTATATTTGGAGTAGTAATGTTTGGAAATGGGGCTTATACTATGATGTTTGAGTCAGGAAGTAAAATTCGGGCTTGTATGATGTGTCTACATGCGTATTTTAACATCTACTTACAAGCAAAAAATGGCTGGAAGACATTCATGAATCGTAGGACTGCTGTTAAGAAAATTAATTCACTTCCTGAAATAAAAGGGAGCCGCTTACAAGAAATAGATGATGTCTGTGCAATCTGCTATCATGAGTTTACTACATCTGCTCGTATGACACCATGTAATCATTATTTCCATGCACTTTGCCTTCGGAAATGGCTGTACATTCAAGATACTTGTCCAATGTGCCATCAAAAAGTATACATTGAAGATGATATCAAGGCTAATTCAAGTATACGTAGCAACAACGGATTTATTGCACCTAATGAAAATGCAGAGGAAGCTGTAAGAGAGGCTGCTGCTGCCGAATCTGACAGGGAATTGAATGAAGATGACAGTACAGATTGTGAGGATGATGTTCAAACAGAAAGAAATGGAGTGATTCAGAATACAGGTACAGCAGCTGAAGAATTTAATGAGGACACTGACTGATTAAACAGCATTTACTAATCATTGAGGTTATTTGTTCAAAATTCAGTTCATCCAAAATGGAGTTAATATGCTTCACTTCATTGTGTAACCAAGCACAAAAACAGTCAATGTTGAATCTGTGAATGGTTTTCCGTTTACTGTGATGTGCTACTGTAAATATACCTCTTTAATTACTTCTGGTCTCTTTGGTGACCTATTTAAATTTGTGTACATTATTGTACATAGAATAAAATGTTTTCACGTTTTTATGACAAAATTTGAACAAATAGCTTTTTAATAGATATAACGATAATACAGTGCGCCAACTGTGCCAAAGATTCCTAAATGAAAGTGTATAATTCTGGCCCCTAGTGTTTCTTTAAGATAGGTGGGAGAATGAAAAAGCAAATCAGAGGAAGCCACATTAAATCAAGGAAATAAAATAATTTGGACCAGAGGATAAAGGATATATTTTTATGAACTAAGGAAAAAGTAGGCTGCCAGAAGTGACTGAGACTTTTTGAAATTTGAGAGTAGCACTGTAGTTGAGCTGAGTTCAAAAGTCAAGATTTGGATATTGTGAGTTGAGAAATAGGCATATATAAGGTATGTATGTATATCAGGTATGTATCAACTTATATCTGGTATGAACCAGAATGTGTTTAATTTTGATGTGAAAATCAGTATATTTGTTAGCCATTCCGTGTTTGCAGCATTGACATAAAATTGTCCTTTTGGACTTCTGAAGAGATTATAAAATTAAATACTTGGTGATTTTCATTCTTTTAAGCTGAGGTATTGACATTAAAAAGAAATCCTGGTTTTATGGATAGAAATAAGGGAGATGGTGTGCAGTGATGTATATAATACCTCTTTAGACAAGTTCCAGAGAATTCCTTTATTGAAACTAAGTTTTACCATGAAATTTCACATACATGATGGAAAATACATACCAATTACATGTCAGGAAAAAATACTTTAATGGTATTATTGTATAGCTCATTGGCTAATTCCAGTGGGTCCTCATCTCTTACTGCTGCCATTATCTCCAGTATTTGGCTAAAAACAAAAATAGATAGTTTAAATTTCCAATTATGTATTCTGTTTTAAAGCTATTTATCTTTTTCCACATAAAGGATGATACTAGCACTTTTAATAAGCTTAAGCGGGTATTAAAGTTTTCAGCACTATCAGAAAGTTTAACTGCTAGGATATTTAAAATAGAGGAATTAGAGATTTCTGTGGTAGTTTTTGCATATAACTAGAGCTAAAAACCAGTTTCAAATAAATTATAAAGGCAGCCTATATAATGTGTACCTCAATTAGGGAATTAACCTGGTAGAAATGAGTCCTCTTAAACTGTGGGTCATTACATACTCATTACTGGGTCATGGTAAGCTTTTAAAAAATTGAAAGTTACAAAAGGAAAAGTACAGTGCATGTAGGCAAGTACTATTTCATTTATGTATGTACATGTGTAATGCGTCAATGTAGGTCATTGTGGGGACAGCCATCAAAATTTGAAAGCCACTGCTTAGAGAACTAGTAATAAAGGATAGTGATCATGCCAAGAAACTGTGGCATGATCACTAGCACGATGAAAGCAAAGGAAGTTATTTACTCGGAATAATGTGTTTGGTAGGGGGGGAAACTGGGCTTTCTTTTCCTGTACTTTCCCCCCTGCCATACAGAGAATAGCCCAGGTGTTATTCTTTCAATTTCTCCCTAAAATAATTATCAGTAATGTTTTCTAGCATTCTTACATAGATAGATAGAATATTTTTATACATGAATTATATAAACATTTAAATAGTCTTTATCTTAAGCTTTTTGTTCCTTTTTATCAGTTTCTTAAATTTAAAACACCAAATGGTATTAGGGATGGAGATTAAAGATTAACTGGAACTTTATTCTGTAAAAGTAGCACAAAATGCTTAATTTGTATACTAAATGAACTGACTAAATTTTTGTTATCTGACAGTCAAAAATATGCTGAAAGTAAATCTGTTAACATTTAAATTGACACTGAAGATCCAATTTTCTTCGTAAATTGCAGAATTTTCCTCTATTAAACTATTTGGAATTGGAACTTGCATAATACTGTGCAAAATAGATTCCCGATACCCTTCTCCTTTCCAGTCCTTTCTCCACACTGATAGCAGTTACAGCTTAAGAAAAAAGCTGCCATTTTCCCATTTAAAATCCTTTGGGTCCTGATAAAATCTAAATTACTAAAGTTGGCACAGAAGAGCCCTCACAACCTGGCCTCATTCTACCTTCCCAGACTGATCACTTACTCGTGCATCCTACTTTCTGGCACCCTAACTCACTGTTCCCCTGGAGCAGCTAAGTCCTCTAACAGTCTGCCTTTGCTCAGCGTGTTTATCTTGGTCTGGCATAATTCCCAGTTAGTAAACAGTTGAAATGTCACTTTAGTTCTCTTATTTCCCCTTAAGGCGGGCAGTTGCTATGTCCTATGGTCCCAGTCACACATTCATACCTCTATAACACCACTACCAGCTAGAATTATACTTTTTATGTCTTATTTGTTCCAGAGGGAAGGAATCCTCGTCTGACTCAATTAGTGCCTTATCCAAAGTGCCTGGCACAATGTACCTACTCACTGGTGGATAGATGAGGGAAGGGGCTGTCTGGATTCTTCTATATAGCCTCAGTAAAATGGCATATGGCAAGACCTCCAGAATGTGCTTCAAAGAATTTATTTAGAAGGGAGATCTCTATACAAATAATTAAAATAAAGAACTGTTAATAGATGGAATTTGATTAAAACGACTTTGTAAGTAGGAATTTTAACTTGCCAATTAGTTAATTAGACTATGGCAGGTGTGTTTTTGAAATGTGGCTTAAGCTTTTCAGTTTGCAAATGTTGATTTTCCCAAGCTCTGCTTATTCAGAACTGGTATTCATGGTTGTAGTTGCGAATCATGCATTTTTAGCTCTTAACTGTCGGCATTTAGAAACAGGTTAAAATTTCGTCTTGTAAATGTATAGCTAAAGTCAACAGGTATACTTAACAGTAAGATAGTATAGAAAATGGAGTATAGATTGCATCTTTATAACCATCAACAGGAAGCTTCATGAGAATGGAACTTAAACCAGGTAAGGTGTTATATTCTGAATTTGCAAGAGTGTACATTTCAGAAAAATTACAAGTGATTCCTTACTAAGCAGAATATATTCCTCACCCAGGGGTTTTAAAACAGTTAAGTCAGGGATCCTCAAACTTTTTAAACAGGGGGCCAGTTCACTGTCCCTCAGACTGTTGGAGGGCCGGACTTTGGCTTAAAAAAAAAACTATGAACAAATTCCTATGCACACTGCACATATCTTATTTTGAAGTGAAAAAACAAAACGGGAACAAATACAATATTTGTACTTGCATGTGGCCCGCGGGCCATAGCTTGAGGACCCCTGAGTTAAGTTCTAAAGTATTTGCCAACACTAGCATGTTTAATAAAGCAAAAGGTCTTTCCAATATGTTTTGATAAAATTAATTCACTTTTCTGCCTGCTGAATTTAGCTCTGGCTTACTTAATACTCTTACCTGTTAAAAACTACTGGGGAAAAAAATAATGCATATGGAAGGAATTACTATTTAAAAGTAATTCAATATTAATTTTTGTGAATGTTATAAATGTGTTCAGTTGCCTAAACTGGTAAACCACACTAGATTGATACAGTCTAGAGTTAAATTATGTACCTGTGCAAACAAAAGAAATCAGATGATGTCTCCATTAAAATGATATTACAAACTTTTTCTGTAAGTTAAAATATCGTCTCCAGCTCCTCGATAGTTAGATGAGTAACAGAAGCCCATCTTTTTCACATGTGTCTGTACATTATAATAAAAAAGATTATGAATTTAAGGAAAACAAAAATCTATAAAGTTCTACCCCTCTTTTTGTTTGGAAAAAGGAAATTCTCATGTGTTATTTCTTAGGTTTATTCAGTTTTGTTTTTTTTTTTTTTTTTTTAAATATATTTTATTGATTTTTTACAGAGAGGAAGGGAGAGAGATAGAGAGTTAGAAACATCGATGAGAGAGAAACATCGACCAGCTGCCTCCTGCACATCCCCCACTGGGGATATGCCCGCAACCCAGGTACATGCCCCCGACCGGAATCGAACCCGGGACCTTTCAGTCCGCAGGCCGACGCTCTATCCACTGAGCCAAACCGGTCTCGGCTTATTCAGTTTTTTAAATCATTCAAAGTACAGACACCATTAAAAAGGTCTTAAGATTGCATTTTTATAACCATCAACAGGAAGCTGCATGAGAACAGAACTTAAACCAGGTAAGGTGTTCCTATATGGAAAGCATTAAGATCTTTTCCCGCCCTACAAAATGACAAGTGACCAAAATCACACGAAGTTATCACTGCAGCAATAAAACCACTGGGGAAGAGAGGATATAAAAAGAGGAGCTGAAATAGAGCAATTCAGGTGCAAATTCCTAAAAACCACTGCATTAAAACGGTTGTATTTGATCTGAACTTCATTTGGACTTCACCCAACTTTAATTATGTCCCTTGAGTTTATTTTGTTAAGTGACATTTGGTGGTTGGCTTTAATAGTTTAGAAGACCATGAAAACAAAATACTTACATTATATGGCAAGGTTCATTTCTGTCTTTCAAACAGTGCCCATTTTCCCATTTCTTTTTGGTAGGAAATGACGTTTTTACATATTTTGAACCAGCATGTGTACTTTTGACTCCACACCAAGGTGCATCTAGAATTAGCAAATATAAGTCTCTTCAGAAGTTTAACTTTTTGAATTATTTTTTTAAATGAACATTACCAAGCTAATATATAACCTCTAAAATATGTTATGATTCAGCTTCAAACATGGCAAAAACAGAAAGGTTCTAAGAAACATACAAGACAGAAATCTTAAACTGTACAAATTCTTAAATGTTTTTATAAGACTACTTTTGTCCCCCAACCCCCATTATTGCTGATGTATGATATGCTTTTAAAAAAAGATCTAAAGCTAAAAGAAATACAATTGTAACATGAGGACATTTAGGTTAAACAAACCTCTGTGTTGCCTCAACTGAACATAAGAATAGTAGCTTTGAATACTGGGGTTATTCAATAACCTGTTTCCTTAATTAAGAATTGTAATAGCTTACACATTCTATAAGTTATGTACTTTTAATGACCTCATTAAGTTTTCATTACTCCCCAAGGAAATAAACCTGATTTCTTCAGAATGGCTCAGCCTTGACTTCACAAAAAAAAGTCCTCTTGTATAAAATCCTTGTGTTCCAGGGTATAGATAAAAATGTTAGCTTCTAACCTTGTTTTAAGACGCAACAGATTACTATCAGAAATTCTTAGACTAAACCAATTTGATTTAAATTAAAAGTATTGTAGAATTAAGTCATTGCAAAGAAGACATTGTGTAAAAAGTTCTGAATAGTTTTTTAAACCCTGAGCTAAAATTAGCTTAGTTAAGGCTCCTTGTTTAGTCATCCCCTTGTAAGTGCTAAGGCTTTTGTCAAATTTCTAAAATTGAAAAAATCACCTGCATAAATATTTTTCCATCAATTGATAACAACCCCAAAGGTTTTCTAAAAAATGTAACTGTTGAGGCTGTGTGCTGTTTTAAAATAAAACATTTGTTCAATTTCCTTTAGTTCTTTTTTTGGAATGGGTTAATATGAAAAAGTTCTAAAAACAAACTTACCAGTCTCAATCATTAATTTTTCACTAGGTATTGACTTCAAAACTTCCAAATTAGCCTCAGTTTTCAGTGAGCTTAAAAGATATTAATGTATAAAATAAAAAGGTGCATTTAATGACTTTTCATACTATAAACTTGTCTAAACAGATCACAAAACTAACTCAAAATCCCAAAACAAACTTTGGCTACAGAGGCAATATACCATTGTATTTGCCCATCCGTATTAAATAAAAGTTCTAACCGCCAAGGCTGAAAGTTTTTTTAAAGGGCTATTAGGCCATTGCCAGCAAGAAAAAGACCAGGTCCTGGGGTATGAAGCTTAAACCACCAGCTATAGTACTAGATGGAAAAGGCAACTTGTCAGCCATCCTAGAGTTGAGCATTCTTACACATCATGGTGGGGATATGAGCTGTTTGAAAGAATTTACAGTATCTATAGATAAGGGGTGGGAGGAGGTGAAACAGGGTCAGCTCTGGGATAGGCTCAGGGTCTTCCAGGAAGGTGTCTGTTCTGGGACTGGCTGTGGGTAATAGATTGGAAAGTTCAAGCAGATGGCGCCTAGCTAGTCTCTTTTTAGGTAATTGTGGAAATAGCCACAAGGTAGTTAATCCAAAATTCTACCAGACAACATACAGGAATGTGAGCAGTCTCGTTATCTGGCCTTGCAGTTGTTTACTGATTAACCCCCTCCTGTTCTTCCTTCAACCTTCTGGCCTGTTGTGATTTAATTCAGGACATCTCAGAGTTTTCTCCTTGTCACTAACTAGCCTTACTGAATCCAAATTAAGATCTATACCAACCAGATCCTGCCTTTGGGGAGGATACAGTAACTTCCTATGAGTAAGTAAAACTTTTTAGAATATTTCACTTTTCTGAGAAATTGACATAACTTAGAGTGGTATAGTCTAAACTTTCTCTTTCAGTTTCACCTGTTTTCCAGAAATCTACATTAGCAAAACTCACTTTTGTTTTTATACGTTTCCCTTTTTGGATATAATTTTAGTAGGATTTTAGGAGGGGTGGGAGTGAAATGTTTGTCTAGTTTACCGTAAGTACCAGTCTTTTAATCAGTGTTCTCCAGAAGAAAACAGAATTATTTTCAGCCATCTTAGTACTTGGTCAATGTAAATATTTTCTAAAATAAATTGATATGCTCAGTATTAAGGGGGAGCAGAGTTTGCCACTGCATATATGCCTTTGGGCTATTATTTGAAACTAGTTATTTTTAAGGAAAAACTTTTGACATTTCTCCCTAACTGCCTAAGACAGTGGTCAGCAAACTGCGGCCCCTTCCACAAAAGAGTGTGGCTCTTCCACAAAATACCACGTGCAGGCGCACATGTACAGTGCGATTGAAACTTCGTGGCCACACTCAAGGGGCCAAAGAGCCGCGTGTGGCTTGCGAGCCGCAGTTTGCTGACCACTGGCCTAAGAGAATTTAGAAAGAGGATCTGCTCCAGTGAGGGAGCTATCATCATAAACAACAATAGTTTAATATGAACTAAGTATAACAGGAACCTACTAGCAAGGCCCATCTGATCAAAGTCCTGTTGTATCCCATTGTTAAAGGCCCAGCAAACATTTGTTTACCAAACATTTGCTTTTCACCTCCATGTGAACTGCTTTTCTCCCCTTTGTAGTCCCAAACCACAACTCCTGCCTTCTTAGCTCAAGATGGCTATAGCAGCTTCCTCTGCCCTCTGGTCTCATTCTCATGGAACTCCCAGATATACCTACGTAGTCAGTTTGAATATTTTCTCCTATTAATTTATCTCATGTTAATTTGATTATAGGATCCAGGCAGAATAACTTAAAGGGTAGAAGGAAAATTAGATTTTCTGCTCCCACAGTTTGGATACTAAATTTAAAACTTGTCACCAAATTAACAATTTACATATTTTTGATCTCATGAAATCATGTCTGACTTAAGACTTTTCCAACATGTATTCCATGTTTGTAAAAATGGATCAAAATACAGAAATGGGGGGGGGGGGAAGAGATTAACCAATGAACTTATGTGCATCTATGCATAGCCCACGGGTAGACAATATATGTAGTGAGGGAAAAGGCCTTGGAGGGGGCGTGGATGACGGGGTCTCAGGAAGAACAACTGAGATTGTGTGTTCCAGTTTAAAATGTGCCCATTTTCTGGGGGGGGGGGGGGGGAAGAAGGTTATAATTTAATCATTAGAAACCAAACTTGGTTATAGACAGATAAATTACCATACTGCAGAAACTCAGATTAAGACTAAAATAAATTTCAAAATAAGACCAGAAATACTGATTCTGACTAAACGACTAATCCATTAATTCAGTTACTGTAGGGAGGAAAAAAGCTAAGTCTTTATAAACTCGAGATAATTTAGAAATATCTGAAACAGACTTACAGTTCAAATGGGTAGAATAAAAGCTGCCTACCCCTGTCTCTGCAAAGCCATCCCAAAATAACAAGGAAAAAAAGAACAGCGTGTTTTTTATGAAACTAGAAGGCATTTCTAACCCCTAATCAAAATACATAGAGTAGAAAGTGGATGGAGAAATGATAACCTGTATCTACCTGCTAAGCAGCTTAAGTGTTATATGGCTATAGAGAGAAATACTGAAGACAAACCAATTCACCCAAGAAAGTTCTAAGAACTGGAAGAACCAGGAAAAGACTGGGATGAGGCAGGGGACTGAAAGGGGGGACTGTTTGAAAAGTGAAAAGTCAGAGAAAAGAGAAGATGGGACTCCCAGATTACTTTCTCATGAACTAGTGCAGAGATGATTACTTTGGCCCCCACCAGGGGAGAAAGAGGGAGGACGTAGGAGGGAGAGAGGTGTGTACAGTCTGGAGAATTTAAACCAGAGACTAGACTGGAGAGCAAGCACAGAGGAGTGCAGGGTCAGGCATGGAACTGAAAATGGAGACTGCTTACTGCACAGTGAAATCCTCTCTCCAACCCCTCCCTGCTTCAGAACACAGGCACATTTATGAATCTCCATTCCACTTTTCCAGCAGGGAGCAGAGGATCCTCTCTGGAGACACTGAACCAACTGGGAGGAAGAGCTCAACAAGCTGACATTTAGGAATCCCTGCTGAGAATGTCAGTTGGCCACCTGACTGACTGGCCCAGTTGATAGGCTATCTCACCACTGAGCTTCCAATCAGCTTTTTTTTCTTTTTTTAACTTTTACAGTATACGGGGAAGAACAGCCTGACATTTGAAGAAAGCCTCCATTGTGATAGAGACCAAAACAACAAAAGGGGAAAAAGGAACACGGAGCATTTTTTGGCAAACAGAAAATAACTTTAAAAAACTGTAATTCTTCAGAGAGAGGAGAAGATGCTGCAGAAAAAATATCAAATGAAAGTGTTTGGGGTTTTTTTAAATCCACTATCTAGGCAAACTTTCAAGAGGGAAAAGTAGAATAAATTCACTTTCAAATGTGTTCCATCAACACAAAAGGAATACATGGGATCTAAAAATAGTTCTATCAAAGAAGAAACACTAGTCCTAACAAGCAGCAAGACGGAAGGGTCTGGAAAGAATGGAACAATCAGATTATCTAGACAGGTTTCCTCATAGGGAAAAACAGATAAAGGTATTTTATAGAGATGCTGCAAAGTGTAAAAAGCGTAATTTCGAAGAAAGCCAAGTAAACAAAAGTATGAGGAAAGTTACTCCAGGAGAATAAAAAAAGTGGTACACCACATGGTTCAGCAGTCAACAATATACAAACATAATGAAAACATGGAATATGCATATAACCAAAAACTCTAAATAACTAAACTAAAGGGACTATGGAGGATAATGCAGGTGGGGGAACAGTATGGAATATGGACTTAAATGCTCACATACCTTCATGAGAACAGGTAAAGGGAATGAATGAGTAACAATGCATATAATTAGAAGGTGATAAACAGTAATGTGATTGCCTCTGGAAAAACTGATTCAGGGGTACAGGACATGCTGGAGAGTGTTTTAAGCCTCAGTACTACTGGACTTTCTCTTCCACAGGCATGTAGTCCTTCGCATAATAATTAACAAATTAAATAACTTAAAATACTAGAACATTTAAGTAAGTCTGAACTTTATAGCAAACAGGTAAATTTCATGATTCTATTTTCTAAGATTACAGTAAAAAAATCAGAAAAAAAATTTTAAGGAAATTAAACACAAATGATGGAAAGTAATCTTATACTACTTTGCAATTTATTTAATGACCTACACTGACATCCTGTAAAAAGACACTGATGGAGGCTCACCAAATCTGGAAGGAAATGAGCCTGTATTGGGTGTGTGAGGTTTTAGTTTGGCATAACAGCAGAAAGGTCACTGAGTGAGGAGCCAGAGGACACAGGTCCTCACACTTTTGAGTTACTTTATACCTGTTTTTTAGCTTCTCTAAGCCCCAGTTAATTGACCTACAGAGATATAGATGATTATGTCACAGTATAACCTTTCCCCTGTGGTCAGTCATCACACACACAATGAACAGGTATGTTTTAAAGGGACAAAAATAACCTGAAAATAAACTGCATTGCTACAGAAAGCTAGTTGCTGAGCTCAACATAAAACTATTTTCCATTATTGGAACACATGGTAGTTCTTAATGTTCTAGCTTTAACTTGTAATAGTACTGTTTAATTTCCTACATAATTACTGAAATTTTCAGGCCAAGGTCAATGCAAAATACAAACTAAATTAACAAATTCGTATCATCATCAGCAATTCACTATAACAATTTAAGGAATCTGCTTAATATGTTAAGAAACAAAAACAGAACCTACCAACCATTAAATCCTATATAGAGATCCAAGTCAACCAAAGCAGCTGCTATTTCCTGGGTACCATCAAATGAATGCACCTAAAGACATACAGGCATAATTCTATTATTATAATTACTCTTCCCTTAATAAGATTTTCTAAGCAAAAATATAGGTGCATTAGGGTTTTTGGACCACAAGATTTCAAATGTGGTGGCCTCTACAATTTTTACTTTCAATTATAACCTATCATCATCTCCAATTACATGAGATAAGAAGGAATTTGTTGGCTGCCTAAAATTTCTGCCTTGGTGGCCCCCTGTGGCTATCTCCACCGGCATTAGGGCATGTATACATTACAGCATGCATCTCCAGGAAGGAGAACTGGACTAGGGAACCACATTCTTAGGCAAAAGCATGAGAAAAAATTAGAAATGTTATAAAACTATTAAAAATATATTTTTAAACGTTCAATTTTTCGGTTAGAAATTACTTTTGAGAGGCAAGTTTTAAGACATAAAGAGGTTGTAAGAACGTTGCTAAAACAATATTATATAGTTAATAATATCAGCTCAGTAGGCAAAAAAAATTGAGAGGGCGTTTTTCTCCTTCAAAGATATTATAGGAGGTAAGGTATAGTTTTCATAGTATTTATGTAATCAAAACCAGTAAAAACAATAACACTCCTTTAAACATACTTAGCCAGTGATATCAAATTAATACTGAGCCTAGAGTCAGAATACACTGGGTAACAAGTTTCTATACAACAAAACTATTAGATGCCCAAAGGGTTTATTTTTATCCTCTGACTAGAAAACATAGCCTCCAACAGTATCAAAAAATTTTAAACGTGACTCCATATAAACCATTTCAGAATATTACTAATTCTTTATTTGAAAATTTTTAATAAAAGTCAAAAATTTAAGTTGGATTTGCTGTTGCTGATACTTTTTTTTTAAAAACTATTATAGAAACATCCAAGTAAATTCTTATTTAGAAATAAAGTAAATGGGCTGAGAAGTAGAGCCTGAAGGTTTAAGTGCCACCAGTAATACCAAGAGCATTAATGAAAGCCTCTCTCAATTTCCAAGTACTATTCCTAAAGGATAAGTTATAGGGTCAGTAAATTACAGATAAAAATGTGCACTGTAATATTTAATACCACAGCAATGCAAAAAGCATGCATATCACTAGTATGCATAAAATATGAGGCTAAGAATTTAAGAGCATAAATATGAAATTGTCAAAGCAGTGCAATGTGGGTATACAATTAGTGCAAAATGCTATTTCCTCTGCCTAGATTAACAGGTTTTTTTTGGAGCCCAGTGAGTCTTTCCTGCAATTATGTATGAAAATTGACATATCTGAGCATTTTTCTGAGGCAGATTTTCAAAGGAGTCCATGATCCCCAGAATATTAGAAGTCACATGGATACTCGCGTTAAGTGGTGGGTAGATAATATTTATGGGAAATGTCTCAAGATTAATGACTAAGATGACCATATAGAAGTGTTTAGAGTAGAAGCAAATTACAGAAAGGAGAATGAGTCTCTAAGTCAGAGTAATAACAGTGAATACAGTTGAAAAGAAGTTAAGAAGGCAAGCCTAAGTGTTAAATTATTTTTAAGTATTATTACAATTAATTTTGCTCAAATTTAAGAGTGTCTGATAGAGAAGGCAGAGTGAACAGAATTCTATACTCATTTTTGTACTTTGAAGACAGTAACTAAATTTACATATCCTTCAGATAATGAGAGGAATCTTAGTAAGTTTATTGACCAATCTTAATAACCAAGAAGCTTTTTGCAGCATCTAGTAAAAACAACTCATACTTACTACTCCCCCTACACACCGATCTCTATTTCTTTTCATTATGTCTGTGAATTAAAAACAGAGAACTTTTAGCAAATAGTTGGATTTCTGCAAAACTTAAATTCTAAATATTATAGCTTTAACTCACCCAAAAATTCAGCATGTGAGTTTCGGCAGTGAAGAAACATGGGTAATTTTGTCTGATCTGACAGTTCAAACTGTTTTTCAAAATATCTGCATAATACAAAAGATTTTGTTAAAAATTTTATTTTAGCATGAGAAAAATAATTGTTAAATTATCTTTTTTAGTTAAAGGAATTTCCCTAGAAATTATCGGGCAAAGATACTAAATCGAGACATTTAAAATATGCCAGATTTAGCCAAAGGCTTTTACAACACACATCTTCTGGAAAGAGGTACTTCATTTTCTGGGCTTACAAAATTTTAAGAAATGATTATTAACTACAGGGTAAATTAAGTAGTACTTTACTACTGATCACTAGAACTAAAGAGCTATAGAGTTTAAGTTTAGAGGTATAGGGTATTTCTCCAAATAATTACTTTTAACTAGCTGTCCAACCAAATCTCAGCAAATGGAGCAGACACCATCCTATAACCTGTGGGATCCCTTCCCTGCAGAATGTGTTTGGTGATGGAAAATACACGACCAGCCCCTGGCTCTGAGAGCTGGCTGAGCACCATCAGCAGGAGTCAGCTGACTCCAGTGAGAAGCCAGGCAGAGCTTTATTTATACTCAGTGTTTCTATGTGCTGTTGTATAATAAATTACTGCCACTGTACCAAAAAGATTCCCTTATAAACTAAATACAAGGAGCTGTTAAAGAGCACAAAAACTAAAATACTCTAAAATACTCCATTTTTCAGAAAAATGAAAATTACATAAAGTAGCAGCTCTGAATATTTTAGAATATTTTAGGTTTTCCAAGTGCCACATACCATTATCTCATCTAGCACAGCACAAGGTTTGGTGTCAGAGGTGGGTAGGACCTTGTTCAAGATCACAACACACAACATGGCAAACCTAGAACCCGAACTTCAGTGCTCCAATTCCAAGTCCCAGCCAAAACCAAAAGTCATGGTGTATCAAAGAAGCCTCTTCCTGGTCCCACAGTATAATATCCAGAGGATATAATGGGGTGGTGGGTGGAGGGGTGTTTTTTCCCTTCATTTTAGCAGTGTTCCCTCTCATTTTCCTTACTGGTCAAGTAGTTTTAGGTGAAACCAGGAGTTACAGACAAGAGGTGTCTTATTATTTTCCAAGGGGCTTAGCTCTTCTAGACCTCTTGATCTTGGGGAACAATTTCTCTGTGTTTAACTTAAATCTCTTTGGTAATATTTTCCCATATCTTGTCTCCTGAAGTGCAGAGCAGCTATTTTACTGAGTACCCCTCTATCTTCGAAAATGCTCAATTTCAAAATTAGAAACAAAAATATACTTTTAAAAGACATAGTCATCCTAAAATTGGTGGTCTATGTCTTTATTACCCAATGTTTAGGTTTTTAAATCACCTTTTAAAATTCTGCTGGGTTAGTATAAACGAAAATATTTTTAAAGTGCTGAAATTTGAGTGTAGGAAACAAGGGAAACTTGAGGGGAAAAAATATTTAAATCATTACACTAGTCATTATTTCCATAACCTCTAAATTAATTCAAATGTCAGCAAGTAAGTGTGCTCCAGTCATTCTGTGAACTTAGTGTGTGGTTTCTGGCTATGCACAGCAGGCAATATTCTCCACTTTCTGTGTTCTCCCCTCTAAACTGAAAATATTTTTCAGCAGAATTCTACGTACTAAGCCACATGACCAAGCTGGAGACTTACAGAATCTAATGCTCAGCTTGGAAATTAGCCTTCCTATTACAGAGCAGGCAAAAACAATTTTCCAACCTATGTTAATTATTTATGTCCTCTTTTAAAATATTCATGAATAAAATGTAACTTTCCATACAAATTCATTCAATGACCAGGATCACATCAGATTTTATTCTAATTTATTAAAAAACGCTTAGAGAATCACATGAGTCTTCAACACAGTAGGTTCCATTTTATTAAGGAAAAAAACCAAATAGCTCTTAAATTATATCTTCACTCATCATAGAATGTGTCATATAAAAATAAAGTTTTGCTTCCAAAAATATGTTTCCATGTGGTTGTTGTGTTGTCTAGTGGTGCTATTGGGGCCAGAAGCACCAATGACATGAGAAGTTTAACCACTGAAGGGTCATTTTTCATAAAATTTCCTTAGGGGTCTGCAGGAAAATCTTCCGCTAGGCATTTTAGTGCTATAGTTACTTTAAATTAAATGTGGACTAAAAGCCACAAAAAGTTGAATTCTTTCAGTATAAAAAAGTTATGTAGCCAAGTTGTGGGCTCCTCGGACATACATAAGCAGTCCCGATAAAATAGTTGCTCAAGTAAGAAAATAGAATTTGTCTGATTACACTTGGCATACGCTCCACTCAAGTGTCCTGCTCATTCATCTCTGTCAGCTTCTGAACATTAGAATTGCTACTTCTTTCCTTCAAAGAACACCTGTAATTCACAGTTCTAAATAGTTCTAAGTCTTATTCTCACACCAGAGCCTCTGCCTCATGAGGCTTATCTTGGCTCAAAAGACACCAAAGTGGAGGAATTATGATCTGTGGGCTTAACTTAAGAAACCACTACAGATAACTGTTTTTTCTACTTAAATATGAATCTGTGAACTTAAGATTAAGTGAGCTGACCTACATGATATTTGAGAGAGATAAAGGGATTTAGTGACCCTGTGGGTAATCACATGAGCATCCTTGAAAAACACAACAAATACTATGTCACTAATTAAATAGCTCTGACACAGTTATAAAGATTAGACAACTGAAAGACTTCGAAGAACATTAATGTAATCCATCCTATGTCACTTGGTTATGAACCTTCACGCTCCAGGAATTCTGGAGCTTGAAGTCTGGGTGTGACAGAATCGCTACTCAATCTGATTCTTGCTATAGGCATTTTCAACTGGGCTGGACATATGGGCTGTTTGTGGTAGGGCAGGCAGTGAAGGGAGGGGGAAATATAATTTGGCATATATAATTTGAAAAATCCCTTCAAGCCACTGGCTTAATCAAGATCATATGACAAAATGGTTATTATTAAATATTATGAGAGGAAAAAAATATTATGCTAGAGCTAGATGGTATCTTAAAGAATTTGATCCAGACTCCTTGCTCATGTATAAGCAACTAAGCAGAGGATTGTTTATTCTTAAATGGCCGTAAGAACAGATATTATACTTTATTCACATTTTTGACTATTGGGTTCTTAGCAGTTTCTGGCACATATAAGTCTCTAAATATTTGTGGAATGGTGGAATAACTAAATTAACCTCCTTTAGAAGCTCATTCTAATATTTTATCATCTAGACCAGTGGTCGGCAAACTGCGGCTCACGAGCCACATGCAGCTCTTTGGCCCCTTGAGTGTGGCCACGAAGTTTCAATCGCACTGTACGTGCGTGCCCACATGTGGTATTTTGTGGAAGAGCCACACTCAAGGGGCCACAGTTTGCCAACCACTGATCTAGACAATTAAAACATTGTTTTTGAAATTCAACAAAATGCACATCTTCAATTAAGCCTATGACCTAAATTTTCTTTTCAGCCTCTAACACTACACCAGTATGACAGGAGCTCCAACTAAAAGCTATAGGCAATAGGGCAGGGGTGGGCAAACTTTTTGACTCGAGGGCCACAATGGGTTCTTAAACTGGATCGGAGGGCCGGAACAAAAGCATGGATGGATTGTTTGTGTGAACTAATATAAATTCAAAGTAAACGTCATTACATAAAAGGGTACGGTCTTTTTTTTTTTTTTAGTTTTATTCATTTCAAACGGGCCGTAGTTTGCCCACGGCTGCAATAGGGTATATAGGAAGTCCCCAAAGCTTGTAAGCTTTGCTGTTTTCTAAGAAGACACCACTCTCAACCTAGCTCTTAAGGATTCCTCTGCTCCAAAGTGACACTATCCAAAGCCCAGCAAGACTAAAATAAGTTTTCTGGCTTTGGTCCGATCGCTTTTTCATATCCTTTCTCTTAAATCACATCCCCCACAAATGAATACGATTCATTTCATTGGAATGGTTCATGTATGAATGCATTAAGTCAAAAGCAACACAAAGCCTCTACTATATAAAACTCATCACTTATTTCTACCATTAAAATCAGATTATATGGCTAATCAATCAGGGATCTATCTAACCTTTGGTCCCTTAGGAATTATATGCAAGTATGCATGGTAGTTGTTGCACTTAACTGTTGATATACAATGGAAAAAAAGAGAGATGCTTAAAGATACATATTCAGGATGATAAAAGCTATTTTTTTTTTTAAAACAATTAAGATTTTACAATCATTTCTAAAGTCAACAAATTTCCTTACTTGAGCTGAGTATCTTTGGGACAAAACTGTAGTCGGTCAAAATCTTCAAGACAAAAAAGAATAATTACTCATGACTTGTACAAAACAAATCAATTATATTTTCAAGGTCACTCACAGAGCTGGGTTGGCACTTACCGAGTCCACATTCCCCTATTGCTACAACTTTCCCCTTGTTGTTTTCAGCAAGATTTAGCAACTCCATTAAGTAAATATCGGGGTTATTCTTTTCAAATTCATCACATCTTGTAGGATGACATCCAACTGTACTGAAAAACATATCTAAGCACAAAATAATGTCCTAGGATTATTTTTAAACTATTTTTCATATTTATATTTCATATGCATAAATGAGACCATAGATTAATTTCAACTGGTTAATTTTTAATAGCCAAAAACTATTCAAACTATTAGAATTGCATTAGTTTAATCATATAAAACTTTTTGGAATACTTTAACAAGGTAGGACATGAAGATGAAAACTGCCTTAACATATTGATAAAAATAATTAATGCAACTCTTCCCAAAGCTCAGCCCTAGCCAGTTTGGCTCAGTGCATAGAGCATCGGCCTTCGGACCAAAGGGTCCTGGGTTCAATTCCGGTCAAGGGCACATCATCTGGTTGCAGGCTCCTCCCCAGCCCAGGCCTTGGTCAGGGCTCATGAGGAGGCAACCAATCGATGTATTTTTCTCACATGAACGTTTGTGTCTTTCCCTCTCTCTTCTACTCTCCCTAAAAAAATCAATGGAAAAATATCCTCAGGTGAGGATTAACAACAAAAAAAACAAAGCTTGGTATATTCTGAGCCTTGTAGAACGGAAAATGAAACAACTGTAGAATTAAATGTCAATTAATTTATCTTTTATAGTCACTGTTCATATGTGTGTTATTTCATATACTTAATAGTTAAAATGTATATTCCTTACCATTAATAAGGGTAACTTAAAGAGGTGGACGGGGGGATTTGTTTTTCTAAATAAAAATAAAGCTCACTTATCTGGAGGCCATACTTTTTGATAGTTTTAATTGCATAGAACACAAATATGAAGCCAAAAGGGTTTTTGAGTGGCTTAAGGTGCAGCTGAACCCATGGGAAAGGTGTGGAGCCTTCCTGTGACTGAGCAGATGTTTACATAAAAAGGGAGGCAGAGCTTTGAAAGCCGTGAGGAAACAGGTACACGGAGAGGAGTGGAAGAGGGCTGACGTCGGAGATCTGAGGATTTTTTTTAAACATATCTGTTTGGGGATAAAAAGTATGGAAGACAATATTCTCGTCACCTAAAAGCTCTGGAAAGATGACTTCTTTTATGACCTTAATCACTATGAAAAAATAGCAGTGGATCCTGAAGCGATTTCCATAAACAATAGCTTTTAATAAGCCAGTTATTTTGAAAAATAACGTAGAATGCCTAATTTTTCAGTGTCCAATAGATAAAGCAAACCACACACCCCAAAAAAGGTTGATAAGTAAATGAATGCTGGATAAAGGAGGTATTTTATATAATTAAGATTTCTTTAGGAACCAATTCCAAAATTTCATAGATTTTAAATAACTGCAGAATGTATGAACATAAAGTACAGGACGGATTATGTAGTACAGTATTACTTGCATAGTGGTCTACATAATAAATATTTAATAAATGATTTTTCACAGCTTAGGTTAAAAAAGAGCAAATAGCAAGCAATTCACCTTAAACACATTACAACATATACAGAAAAATTCTACATCAGGAATATTTGAGGTTAAATTATATACCTGGTGACCTTAATTCTCATTAACTGAAATCTTAATCCTTATTAAGTACAATCCTTATTAAGTTCTATGCCAATGGGCACTTTGAACTTTTCATCATAATCATGTCCCATTGAAATCAGTCTATTTTCCTGTTGCTTCTACAGTCACGATCCATTGTATTGTACCTGAAGCAGTTCTCAGAAAGATTTCTTCAAAATAACTTAATTCATATTTGCTTTTGATAAAAGTAATATGAGGATACCATTTGTCTGTGCCAAATGGAGTGCATCTTTACTGTCTTGTAGATTTCCACCTGTAATCATAAACTGAAATAGAAATAAAATAAGCCCACTTTAACAAGGTATCAGCAATTGTTCCACAAACATGCCTTCCCATTCCTGCTTTTTTCCAGAATGCTTTTATCTCTCACTGTCACACACTTCCCATTCCTTTAAAATTCAACTGAAGGATCATCTCCTATATGTAGAGTGCTCCCTGTCTTCTACTCTCCATGCACAGACACACAATACACAGAATTCATCACTCCCACCTACTGAAATGCACTCACATGTCTGTCTTTCCTATTAGACCATGAGTTCCTTGAAGGCAGAGATCAGGTTGTGAAACACTGCAAAAGACTGAATAACGAAAGATCTCTGGCAAGCTAATCAGTGTAGAGGCAGTAGCTACCAAGTGTGCTGATACCGCACCACTACAGAACTCTCTAAAATAGCAGGCACTGTCCTAATCAAATTATTACTAAAAAAATGAAACTGTCCTCAGTTACTTGCAACGGTATACCTATATACTATAAAAACTAGGCTTGGTGACAGATACATGTCTTTTTTATGATTGCTTACCTCAATAAATACTAAAGTATGCCATAAAATGAATGTATTTAAGGTTGCCTCTTCAGGTGCCTGGTATTTCAGACGGACTTTGAAAAAAATTTCAAAGAGATTTTGCTATTTCTGAATGGAAGAACTAACTATCCATGAAGCTTATGTCATTTAAACTGCTGTGAACAGAATATGTGGACATACTTTATTTCATTACCTTGATAATAAATATTACATATTAACAGTATATACTCAAAAAAGGCAAGTGTGTACTGGCTTTTTCCCTTTTATTCAGCAGTCTTTTAACCAAAATTTAGTTTTTTAAAAAAATCTCAATAGTAATAAAAACTAGATGTTACCTTTTTAACACCAATTTGGACAGCTCTCTGTATTACATCCTGTAAGTCATCTGTAAAAGATGAATCCCAAAGTAAGAGGGCCTGGTAAATAAAACTCCATTTATAAGTCACATTTACTAAATCAAAATCAAATCAATACTATTTAACAAGTACTTAACGTATAAAAATAGAGTGTGATAATCTTAGAAAAAGAAACCCGTATAAGGCAAACTAGATGAAGTTATTCACTTATTTGTATTTTTATTCTGTTGGCCAAAAGAGTATAAAGTGACAAAATTCAGAGGTTCAAACTAAAGATGAATTCACTGACTACAAATTTGAACCATTTGCTTTGAATTTCAAACTTGTTGGTAGATCTTTAAAAATAGAAATCATTAAGATTATTTTTACTACGGCTTTTTAGAGTACACCTGGCAATGCCCCCCAAAATATAGCATCTATTTTAAAATTTTAGTTAATGCCGTATTTCTATAATTACTATCCCCATTGAAGAAGGTTAATTTTTTATTTTCTCTGACAGTTGTTTTTTGCTTTTTTCCTAAAATTGACTGTTAAGTAACAAACTTTTGGGGGAGATCAATAGTAATTACTAAGCTCCAAGAGGCCTGTAGCAAAATTAAACAATTATGTCATAAAAACCTATTTCTTAATTTCATATTTAAGCAACAAAGTAAATGTGATTGGAATTCAATTACTATTCTAGAATAGCTACAAAATATAACTTAGACAAAGAATTATCGACTTAGTGAACGTATATAAGTAGAGCAGTTTTACTAATTATTATAAACTAGAATAATACTGATATTGATCACTATAACACTTATTTCATACACACACATATACAAATATATACACCCAGTCATAAAGCATGAACTCTGAGTGCTAGGAGGCAGAAAAAAAAGCAGAATGTAATTGATTCAGTTTTCTAACTATACTATGTAAATAACATCTAAATTTCTAAATGCAGTAGGTAAAATAAGTTTTGAGGTAAGGTTAAGGAAAACTAACATTTATCTTTCTTTGTTCAAGTGACATCTAGCATTTCCTATATTTAAAGCTTTCACTTAGTATCAAGTGAGATTAACTTCTGAGCATGTGAAATGTGCAATTCCGTATCATCCAGACCTACAAAACCAGTTTCCTATTTGTACTTACATAATGACAAATATAGTAATTTTCTGAGGCAATATGCACAGGCTAGTTTATTGGAGAAATTAAAAAACTTGTCACCATCATTTCCTGCTTGGTCACGTAGCTGACATAAGCCTTTTAAAAATGAACTTGATGTGATAAATAGAAGCCATTTTGTTTTTGGCTAGGCTTTCCATCAGTCTTTGAGGTACTACTCTTCCCATCTGCACTGCAGATGTGTAGGATCTAGCAGGACTGGGCTGGAAAGGGGGAGAGGCAAGACAGAGGACTGCAGTGCACCGCCCCTTAAACAACATTCCCACTTAGTCACCCCCTGAAATGTTTTAGGAAAACCAGACATACTAATGTTCAACTGGACATTATTTTTAAATTATGTTCCTTACTGTTCGATTGCCTGAAAGACTAAACATCAACTACTGTTTGGCTTTTCTGCATATGGTTATGTAAAGTTCTATATTCGAAATTATAAACTTCTACAGATAAGGGCTTGATTAACTGTTACAACAGGTGCATTATAAGTGTTCACTATCACAGTTTATCAATGTAGCTTATAGGTGTTTCACTTTGTTTACAGTTTATCCAAGATGCATAGTAATATTTCAGTTGTAAGAGTGGATTACGCTTTTCTAGGTCTCCTTGAGGCAGACTATTTATCTTCATAGAGAAACTGTTTACCTCAATAAAACATTTACCTTGATGCTTTTGAACCCCCCTATAAATTCCTCTGAATACAGGATCTGTCAAGTTGATACCAATATCTGCGGAAAGCAAAAGAAAAATAAATGATTAATCATGAAGAGCCTCTATGTGAAACCTGTTCTTTAAATAAAAGTTCATACTTTTCATCCTCACATTCATTCACTTCAACAAAATCTGAGTGCCTGCAGCTTGCCAGTCACTGTGTCACTGTGCTAGACACCTGGGCTACAAAGATGAGAGAGCAATGCCTGCTGTGAAGAAACTGGGAATTGGGAAGGCAGACAGTAAGAAACGTTCCAAGCAGACACTGGTACTGTGGGCCACAGACGAGGAACCCCGACCTAGTCTGGGAGCTGGCCCAGAGGCTTCCAGGAGGAGGGGTCCCTGAACGGAACCTTAAAGGCTGAGTTAGAGTTACCCAGTACAAGAGTGGAAACTGCAGACAAGAGGAAGCAGCAGGAGCAGAGCATCGGGGTGTGAAATAGCACAATGATTAGGGAGAATGACAGGCCATTCTAGCTGCTGGAAAAGGTATAGGGAAGGAGTGACCAGAAAAGGCCAGGCTCAGCTGTTACAGACACTTGTCTTTAAAGTGTCAGATGCAGCAAGAAGCACTGATGGCTTTTAAGCAAAAGAGTAAGGTTTGCACTGTGGACATGTCATTCTGGAGTCTTTGTGGAGGGAAGGATTTGAAGGGAGCAAGGAGTCAGGATAGCTGCTTGAAACGGGTAAGAGATCCCATTTACCATGAAGAGGACCTGGATTAGGGTAATACAAGCAAAGATGCAGAGAGAAGAATAAATTGTTTATTTCCTTTACTCATCAAATATTTAGGAAGGCCAACTCTGTGCCAAATAGTATGGTAAGGGGTTAGGGAACACAGAAATGAGTAAGACCCAAGACTCGGTCCCGCCCTCCAGAAATTATATGGGAACTACAAATGTAACTGTGATATAATAAACTACACTGTAGCAACAGAAAAAATGTTTATATTCATTGCTGTATCCCTAGAACAGTGTTGGCGAACATATGACACGCGTGTCAGAGGTGACACGCGAACTCATTTTTTTGGTTGATTTTTCTTTGTTAAATGGCATTTAATTATATAAAATAAATATCAAAAATATAAGTCTTTGTTTTACTATGGTTGCAAATATCAAAAAATTTCTATACGTGACACGGCACCAGAGTTAAGTTAGGGTTTTTCAAAATGCTGACACGCTGAGCTCAAAAGGTTCACCATCACTGCCCTAGAACCCAGCACAATGGTTGTGTGAAAATAATATAAATGGAGCCACTTCAAAATGGAGTCAGAGCAGCCACCCAGAGGAATTGCCTTGCACACCTTACTCCTCAAACTTTGGGATGTTTCAACTGGACAAAGTAACTTTTGGGCTGGGCCAAACAATGGTATGTTCCAATTAACTGATTACAAAGTTAACAGGAAAGCAGAAATCCTGATAGTTCTTTAGAATTAGTACCACCATGTGGAGCTAAAGAATAACTTACTTGCGCCTATAGAAATTCCCTCCTTAGCTCATTAACACCAACAGAAATTCCTTTCTTCTGTCCCCTTACCATTCTCAAAATTATCCCTGGCCTTCACCCCATAATTGTAAACTATTCAGGTTTCTGCCTGAATCAGTGTTTCCCAGAAGTGCAATTCTTTTTTAACTCAAATAAGTGCTTGCTGCCTCTCATCTTGGCTTTTCATTTAAACACACATTGTTAGCATGGGAGCACAAAAAGGAGGCAATAACAGCTCTGGCAGTATGAGAAAAGCTTCACAAAAGAGGTCATCTTGAAGCTAAAACTAATGGAAAAGGCATTCTGCACACACATGTGTAGGTACAAGCCTGGAAGAAATTCACTGAGCCTGTAGAGCAGTGTCCTCAATGGAGAGCGATTCTGCAGAACCTCTTCTCCTAACTCTCCCCCAGCCCATAGCATTTAGCAACGCCTATATTCATTTCTAGTTGTCACAACCGGGAAGTGCTACTAGCATCTAGGCTTCAGGCCAGGGATGCTGCTAATATCCTACAAGGCAGACAGGCTAGCCTCTCACAACAAATACTTATCCGACCCAAACGATCAAGTGCTGTTCCTGATAAATCCTGCTGCAGAGGACAAGAGAACAAGGGGAAGAATAAGACATGAAGTCAGGTTGTGATGGGCATGGCCAGTAACAATGTCATCCTTAGTTACAATACATGCCCTTTAGCTTTTAGCACGAGGACAAGCTCCAAGTTTGTGTGTGGAGAGACAGCTGCCCATCAATAGACCCTACATTGTTTCTGCTGAGCTCCAGCTTCTCTTCAGTATATTCTCACTCTGCTTCTGCCAAGCTGACCCTCAGTGTGCTCTGCTTCTTCAACATTAAAACAGACCTTGCAAGATGAAAGGAGTCTGGGTAATTCAAGAGACGTAAAGAGAGTATTCCACAAGAGAAAAGCACAATGCAGAAAACTTCAAAGATATGCAAAAGCATATGTCAGTGGAGGGTGGGAGATGAATTCACAACAGGTACTATTACAGTAAAGGGCTGTTAACACACAAATATCAAATACTATAAAATACAAACTCATTGAGAATGTCCAGATCACAGAAATCAGCACCTATTTTCTTTTCATAAGGACAGGAAATAAGATAGGGAAGGGGCAGAGTGGGAAAGGAAACCCTGGGAAGAGAGGAGGGGTCTTTCTGCCTAGAATGACCGGTCACAGGAGTCAGTCTAGTCATCCACCAGGTGATCATTAGGAGCACTGAGCCCATCTGCATCTCTAGCCCATTTTCCCTTTGTGCAGCAAAGAAATTAGAATTTGTCCAAAGCAATCTCTTCCTAGAAACAAAGTGAAAAACAAATGAAACCCAAACCAAGCAAATTTAGCAAGTACACTTTCTGATACTAATTTCAAAAGTGAATTAAAGATTGGCTTGGAGGCTCAATTATGAAACCTTTCCAATTTCCAAGTCCTTGTCTCAACCCTAATAGGAATGGAAGCTAAATCCTTTTTCAATGCTTACACTGAGGCCAATTACAAGTGATCCCACTTCCCCCTACAACCCACCTCTTCCCAATATGAGTCAGTCTTTCAGGCCCTAAGTCTCAGCGTACTTCAAAGATCTACATTCAGCTTTGGACCCAAGAGGGCATTGGGCTGTAGGGATAGACTGCACAGCCACCAGTTTCTTCCCTTTTCTGCAAGAATCTCTTGTGAGCCCTGGCTGGTTGAGCTCAGTGGATAGAGCGTCAGCCTGCGGACTGAAGGGTCCCAGGTTCGATTCCAGTCAAGGGCACCTGCCCGGGTTTCGGGCTTGGTCCCCAGTTGGAGGCGTGCAGGAGGCAGCCGATAGTCTCTCTCATCATTGATGTTTCTATCTCTCCCTCTCCCTTCCTCTCTGAAATCAATAAAAAAAATATTTAAAAAAATCTCTTGACTTATAGCCCCAAGCTTTTTTATTTCTGACATATGGTTTGTCTGAGGTGTATTCCTCAGCCTGTAATTAGAGCTGCTTTCTATACTTTGATGAACAGGCTCCATTACCTTAGTTAAGTTTGATGAATGAACTCAAAACATGCCACCCCAAAATATGCTGCTTTGGCATATTGGGTTCTTTGAGCTGAAGGCACTTGAGAAATAGCAAGTGCGGGAAAGTTTCTCTCATCTCCCCCTTTCCAGCTAAAAGGTCGTAAAATTTCCCATAAAAAAGGTGCCCTTCCTATACCAGGAAGAGGACATTCTTACCACTAGAGACTGAAAGTCAAAGTCATAATGTATCTATACAAACAAACCCAAAATAACCCTTATCTTCTATTAGCTTCCCCTTGTATTTCCTGGCCACTGTTCCACAATTTAAGTCCCTCTGTCTCACCACATCCTCACTTAACCTTTTGGGCCTAACAGCTTCTTTGAGTCTTCATTTTCCATTTGAAGACTCCCATACACACGAAAAAATAAAATTTGTATGTTTGCTCCTATTAATCTGTCTTATGTCTGTTTAATTCTTAGGGCCAGCCACTGAACCTAAGAGGGTAGAAGGAAGTTTTTCCTCCCCCACAGAGGCAAATATCGTCTTTTTCTGGACTCTGATTCACTTCTGTTTCCTATAAGAAGTTCTCCTTATATTGGATGGCCTCTGTGCCTCCCACTCCCCACCCACCTACTCACCTTATTCACCAGCAAGCAAACACCTGCAGGGTGATTAAGATAATTAACAAGTTGCCCCGGCCAGGCAGCTCAGCTGGTTAGAGCATCCTCCCAATTCCATACAAGAATCAACCAATGAAAGCATAAATAAGTGGAGCAACAAACCCATGCCTTCCCTCTCTCTCCCCTTCCTCTTTGTATCTAAAATCAATCACTAAAGCCCTGGCCGGTGTGGCTCAGTTGGTTGCCAGTTCGATTCCCAGTCAGGGGACATGCTCAGGTTGCGGGCACGCAGGAAGCAGCTGATCAATGTTTGGCTCTCACAGTGATGTTCCTCTCTCACCCTCTCCTTTTCTCTCTAAAAATAAATTTTTTATTTATTTATTAAACATATTTTTATTGATTTCAGAGAGGAAGGGAGAAGAAGAGAGAATCACTGGCTGGCTGCCTCCCACACACCCCCTACTGGGGACTGGGAATTGAATTAGAGGTCGACACCCAAACACTGAGCCACACCGGCAGGGCAATAAAAATTATTTAACACAATAAAATCAATAAATAAAAATAATTAACAAGTCAATATAAAGGGAACCACAGAATGTTCAAAATTATCCTCTAAAAGTATTCACTCTCCAATCAAGTCCCAAGAAATAAAACATAAGCAGAAACTGCAGTTCAGACAGAATGGGCTGTGGAGTCGGAATTCTGGCATCAGGACTAATTAGTGAACGACTGAGTAAATCAGCAGGCCTCTGGGCCTGTTTCCGCACTCGTAAGGGAGGCATAGAATTCCTCCTTTCCAGGATGAACTGAGGCTCAAACTGGAAAATGACCCTGAAAGCATTTTACAAACTGAAAGAGTTATAAAACGTAACTGTTATTATTATTATTATTGAGTGCAGTGCAGATTCTGTAACACGCCGACCACAAATGGAATTTTGGTCAACATTACCTATTCAGGCATACCTCATTTTATTGCGAGTCACAGATGTTATGTGTTTTACAAATGGAAGGCAAGACCCTCCACCAGAAAGTGATTGACTCGCTTTACTGTGGTGATCTGGAACCGAACCGACAATACCCGCTGGGTCTATGCCTGCACTGTCATCCCACCCTAAGTGATTAACCTCCCAATCCAAGACTGCATCATTAAGCAGCCAGATGTAAGTCAATCTGTTTATACTCAGATTAAGCAGCCAGATGTAAGTCAATCTGTTTATACTCAGACTCAGACTCATGCTGCAACCACCGGGGGGGGGGGGGGGGGGGGGGGGGGGGGGGGGGGGCGCAGTCAAAATGCTATTTAACTCGGTCAGAATCTTTTAAATTGAAAAGTTCCTATCAGAAGTATGTCTGGTATCGATAAACTAAAAAAAAAGTAAAGAAATACTGTATGGCCCTAACCAGTTTGGCTCAGTGGATAGAGCGTCAGCCTGTGGACTGAAAGGTCCCAGGTTCGATTCCGGTCAAGGGCATGTACCTTGGTTGCGGGCACATCCCCAGTGGGAGGTATGCAGGAGGCAGCTGATCGATGTTTCTAACTCTCTCCCTTTCGCTCTGTAAAAAATCAATAAAATATATTTTTTAAAAAAGAAATACTGTATGAAAATCAGTTTCTATCCAGCTCCAGCCAAAGACAATAAACATCTTGAAAAACTAAGTGAGAAACAGAACTGAGACGGAATGACCAAAATTTAATAAAGGCAAAGTGAAAAAGGACTACTTGTGATTTGGGGAGGCAGGGCATTGAGGGACTCATGTTTAGTAGCATGTCACCTTACACGGATCAGTCATGTTTCTTTTCCATTTCTTTCTTTCTTTAGCTAGCTTTAAAAGCAGTACCAGCTTTGCTGTTAAAAAGTACTCCCAGCATTAATGAGTTTTATTCCTCAAAACAAAGAGTGGGAAAAAAAAAGTTTGCAACCCAAAGAAAACCACATTTCCTCACTGTGTAGCCTCAGTGAATCATGTCTTACCACTGTCACCTACAATCTAGGGATAGAGAGGGACAGCAAATGGGGCATTTTTAAATTGTTTTAGACTTGCTTTGCCTTTAGATAGAACTTCACGCTCACAGAAAATACAGAACAGTAGAGAACAAGCCAGACACCACCACATACCAAAGAGACCAGTGGTTCTCAACCTTCCTAATGCCACGACCCTTTAATACAGTTCCTCATGTGGTGGTGACCCCCAACCATCAAATTATTTTCGTTGCTACTTCATAACTGTAATTTTGCTACTGTTATGAATCGTAATGTAAATATCTCATATGCAGGATGTATTTTCATTGTTACAAATTGAACATAATTAAAGCATAGTGATTAATCACAAAAATATGTAATTATATATGTGTTTTCCGATGGTTTTAGGCGACCCCTGTGAAAGGGTCGTTCGACCCCCAAAGGGGTCGCGACCCACAGGTTGAGAACCACTGAAATAGCCAAATCCACATGACAACCAGCCAAGAAACTCCTCTCTATACACAGGAAAACAGCTCTGCAAGACACTGGAGTCCCAATCCTCGCTCATCCATGCCCCGCAGGGTCTCCTAAGTGCCGGGCAGTAAATATTCTTACCCCTCGGGTTCCTGCAGCCACGGAGCGGGGAAGTGGCGGGAGGTGCACGTGGGAAGGGGGAGACTACAGTGACTCGCCTCTCTTGTTCTTCAGTAGCTGTGCTTCCTTTTTCCTTTTTATTGAGTACATACACGTCATAAGAAGCACAAATCATAACGGCGCCACGCGAGAACTTTCACAAGTGCGCCTTGAAGGCAGCACCTACGCCGAAGAGCGGGCAGGACCGGCGCCCAGCGGCCTCGGGCGCCCTGGCACCTTCAGAAAAGCCAGAGCTCATGCTGGGCCTGTGGCCGCGGCGAGCGGCGCCCGGGGGCAAAGAGCCCAAGGCCCGGAAAATCAGTTTCTTACCCACGAACTTGTAGCGACTCATGACCGCGGCGCCGGGCTCTCCTTGGCGGAAGCGGAAGTGCTGCGGTCGCCCCGCCCTTCCGGCCTCCCCGCCCCTAGCCGCCGGGCTTCCGTTTCCCGGCAGCCCCCGCGGCCGCTGAAGGTGAGCGGCCGTCATGGCGTTCTCGGCGCCGGCGGCCTACCTGACGCACCAGCAGAAGGTGCTGCGGCTTTATAAGCGGGCGCTGCGCCACCTGGAGTCCTTCTGCGTCCACAGGTGGGAGAGGGCCCGGCGCGCGGGGGGTGACTCCGGGGAAGCCGACGGAGGCCGCGAGTCCCCAGGGAGCCGACGTCTCAAGGACTTCGGGGACGGAGGGGGAAGGCGGCCCCTCGGCCCCGCAGACCCGGGTTCGAGGCCCCGCATCGTCGCCCCTGGGCTGCGAGACCTGGAAGAGCTGCTCTCTGGCCCGGGCCTCGGCTCTCTGCTAAGAACGCAGCACTCGGCAGGGAGGATCGCACCGGGCGGTCCGGTGCCTAAAGCCGCAGTTAGGCCTCCAGCGCTCGCCGAACAATAGCCGCCTGTACGGCCTCGTTCCTGATATTAATATGTGCATTCTTCATAATGTTATGTGCATGACTTTCTTAGGTCTTCACAGCAACGCTGAGAGGTAGGGACTAGTTAGCCTTGTTTTGCAGGTGAGGAACTAGAGACAGAGAGAGTAACTTGCTCAGGGCATTAGAGCTGGTAAGTGGCCCGGCCAGGATTACAGCTCAGGTGCCCGAGTGCAAGCATCTCATCCTCGCAGCTTCCCGAGAGCTTCCTCCTTGCAGCTTCCTCGGCCCTTTACGAACTACCCCATTCACTCCACCTCCCTCCGAGACTGGCCTTAGAGCATAGTCTTGAGACATAGATTATTTTCGTGGCCCAGGTGCAGTACAAGCTGAGGTGACAACCCAAATGTGCCTCCACTCCCTTATCAGAACCCGGAAACCTCATCCCAGGGGGAGAGCTTCTGGGGAAAACCTCAAAACATTGGAAAAGGTCTAGGCGAGGAGATAACATTTCTCATCTCCCCCAAATCCTTTTGGTTTAAGGGACAAATACCGGTACTTCGCTTGTTTGATGAGAGCTCGCTTTGACGAACATAAGAATGAAAAGGACATGGTGAAGGCCACCCGGCTGCTGAGGGAGGCGGAGGAAGAGTTCTGGCACAACCAGCATCCTCAGCCATACATCTTCCCCGACTCTCCTGGGGGCACCTCCTACGAGAGATACGAGTGTTACAAGGTGCGTGCGGCCAGCCTGCGGCTGGCTCCTCCCGTTCCAGAGTTACCCTTGTAGGGGCAGCTAGATTTCCTTCCAGGTGACATTAAGACTTTTCTTGCCCTGACCGGTTTGGCTCAGTGGATAGAGCGTCGGCCTGCAGACTCAAGGGTCCCGGGTTCGATTCCGGTCAAGGGCATGTACCTGGGTTGCGGGCACATCCCCAGTGGGGGGTGTGCAGGAGGCAGCTGATCGATGTTTCGCTCTCATCGATGTTTCTAACTCTCTATCCCTCTCCCTTCCTCTCTGTAAAAAATCAATAAAATATATTTTTTAAAAAGACTTTTCTTTCCAAATTCAGCTTGTGGTATCCTTTTGGCAAAGGAGAATGCTAAATTACTTGGTAAATACCCCATTTTTGGACCTTAAGGTGAACCAGTCTGTATTGGTGTTTAGAATTTCTGAGAAATTCTAGATAATACTTCCAAAGAACATAAACCCACTGGATGTTTAGGGGGCACACGTAGGGAAGGGGTAATGCCAGTTCTTTCTGAACGGGCCGTGCTGTTTTTCAACCCCAGGCTGTTTTACTCAAAGGCATTCTCCCTGCTTATCTTCTGCTGCTCATTGCTTGCTTGGTGTCAAACGTCTGACACCTGGAATGGAATAAAAATGCACCTGGAGTTTGTTGTGCAGGACCTGTCAGCGGCAGGTAGATGTGTCTTGTGCACTGACGCCATGACTTCCTCTCCTGACAGGTTCCTGAGTGGTGCTTAGATGACTGGCACCCTTCTGAGAAGGCAATGTATCCTGATTACTTTGCCAAGAGAGAGCAGTGGAAGAAACTGCGGAGGGAAAGCTGGGAGCGAGAGGTGAGTCTCACCTGCATTTTCCCGGGTGGCTTGGCCCACGGGGTCAGCACCTGGAAGGAGCTCAGGTTTTGTCCCACTGAGGAGGTCTGGAGTCCAGTTATGACAGTTACTCTGGCCCCTTGCTTCTTAGATACACATTTCTCAGTTACATGGGACGCTGACAGCCATCTTCCAAATTGGTTACGCTGTTTCCTTCTGGGTTTTCTGGTCTCTAATTTTGCTTTTCCCCTTCTCCTCCTCCTCAGTCCTTTGCCTTTCCTTCTTGCTATGCCCTGTTATCCCTTAACCTTACTCCCCAGCAGTGCCTTGGACCCTTTTCACGTCTGCTTCACATTGTTCAAAGCTTAATCTCGCTGTAGTGTGAAAGATATATTGGAGAGGGTAAGGTGACGAGTGGAGAGACCAACTTGAGGTTATTGCAGTTTATTCAAAAGATTATGGCAGCTAGCACTAAGGTGCATGCAATGAATATGGAGGGAAGTAGATTCAGGAGATAGTTGGAGGGATATAGAAATAGATTGGATGTGGGGGGGTGGGGAGTGAGGGACAGTGAGGATCAAGAATGGTTTCCAGGTTATAAGCTTTAACATCTGGAGTTTACTGATGGTTTATTTAGATAGGGAAGGTGGGGTGTCGGGGGGCATTCTAATGCTCAGTTTTAAGTGTGTTAAATTTAAGAATCCTAAGACATTATGTGCAGATGTCAGAAGGTGACTGGATGTGGGAATCTGGATGTCAAAGGAGCTTGAAAGACATTTGTGAGCTAACAGTTGTTTTCAACATCAGGGAAGTAGATGAGTCTTGACAGGAGACTAGAAAAATAAAAGTCGCAGGAACTCCACTGGTCGAGGTCAGGAAAAGGAGACCGAGGAGCACCCGGCAAGGGAGGGACAGCCAGGAGGGTGTGCCGCAGGTCCCGGAGAAAGTGTTTCAGGAATGGCCAGGCCCGTCCTCTCTGCTGAAAGTTGCTAAAAGGTGAAACAGAGTGAGGACTGGGAATAATGTGCAGAGTTTGGCTGCAGGAAGGGCATTAGTGGGCGTGGCCGGAGCCTTTTCTGGAGGGTTTAGTCACCTGACAGTAGTGAGCAGAGTGAGGAAGAGAAGACAGGAGAGAGGATTCTTGAGAAGTTCTGCTGAGAATAGTAACGAGACCAAGGGATTATTTTCTAAGACGAGAACTGATGGTGCGTAATTTGGAAGGAGGGAGAAGTTAAACTTGTTAATGTTGATGAGGGGTGGAAAGGTGGAGGGAGTTTCGAGAAGAGGTGTGGGACCCCAAGCATGCACGGAGGCCTGTCTCTGCATTGGGAACTGGAGGTGCAGTGATTCAGGGAGAGCAGGAGGTGCACACTGCAGGTGACACACTAACCCCCTCTCCCCTGCACAAACCTTCCTCCTCTTGCTGTTGTCTCTGCCACGTTGTTAAACAGCACATGTGCTGGAGGCTCAGGTTAACCACATTCCAGGATGGATTTTTCTGGAGGAGCTTCATAAAGTCACTGATCTGCAAAGTGGGTCTCTGGGTTTCCTCCTTGTGAGGGCCGTGATCGTCTGGGAGATCCCTGAACTGGGGTAGCTGGTCAATATCAGGCATAACGGCATATTTTTCATGTGATTGTGTGTTGCTTCTTATCCTGGTTGCTGTTGGGGGAGAGGGGCTTTAAAGTTAACATCCCTAATATACATGAATTGAGATTTCTTTTATTTTTGAGATTTCTTACTGGTGCTTTTGGAGAACACTTAGCTGAGACACAAAAATCCATTTTTGTTGTGGGAGAGTTTAGGTGGGGAGACCGTAACCAGGGGAACTGAAGTAGTAGTTGTCATGGTTTGGGTTAATGAATAAGGTGGGCGGGAGAGTTTTTCTCAGCTTTGCTGTTTTAAGAACAGGAAAAGCTTTGAGGACATTTTTTCTGAGTTAAGTGTGGGATCAAATAATGCAGGTATGAACAAACACTTCAGTAGTGAGGATCAGACAGCATGCGATGTGACAGCAGGAACAAAGGTGACACTAACTGTACAGCCGGGACCGTCTGTTCAGCTCCTTTTCTAACTGGTCCCTCCTTGACCCCTTCCAGGTTAAGCAGCTGCAGGCGGAAACCCCAGTTGGTGGTCCCATCACTGAAGCTTTGCCCCCTGCCCGAAAGGAAGGTGATTTGCCCCCACTGTGGTGGCATATTGTGACCAGGCCCCGGGAGCGGCCCGCATAGAGACAGAGAGAGGAAGACACACCACCAATCCTGCTTGCAAGTGAAATAAGTTACAGAAAATATACACACTTGCCCTAATAAAAATAAAAGGTATGACTGATGTGTTCTTCTGTGTGAGGAGTAACGGGATGCCAGGGGACTGCCGCTGTCTTACAGGTTCCATGGCAGTTGTGCATAGAAAAGTATGTGATGTGTCGTCAGTCAGATGTGTGCTTTTCTTCCCCATTAAGTCACATAGATAGCACATGTTCTTAATAAGGGACAACTGTAGCAGAACCAGGTACAAGGTTTACTCTGAAGATTGAGTCAGAGACTCTAGTTCAGGGGTGGGCAAACTTTTTGACTCGAGGGCCACAATGGGTTCTTAAACTGGACCGGAGGGCCGGAACAAAAGCATGGATGGAGTGTTTGTGTGAACTAATATAAATTCAAAGTAAACATCATTACATAAAAGGGTACGGTCCTTTTTTTTTTTTTTAGTTTTATTCATTTCAAACGGGCCGAATCTGGCCCGCGGGCCGTAGTTTGCCCACGGCTGCTCTAGTTGAAGCCTTAATTAGTGCTCGTGTCTGGAAGGAATGGAGGCTGAGAAGAGGTATGCTAATGTTAAGGACTTACGCTACCGTCTTGGTTTTCTAAAGATTCTACTGATGGAATTTGTTTTGATTA